TCAGACTCTTCGTGAACACCAATTGTATGCAAAGAAAGAGAAGTGTGACTTCTGGCTGACAGAAGTAAAGTTTCTTAGACATGTGATATTAGGAAAAAGAATTTTTGTAGATCCTTCTAAGATTGAGACTATATTACAGTGGGAAAGGCCGTAGAGATTTGAAGTTTTCTCGGACTAGCAGGATATTATCGGTGGTGGCACCGATGACTCGGTTGACCGAGAAAGAAGTCAGATTCGAATAGGACACTGAGTGTGAACATGCTTTTTAGGAATTGAAGACCAGACTAACGAGTGCACCAGTCCTAACTATACTTAACAGCGAAAAGCCATATGGGGTATATTCTAACGCGTCGAGGAGTGGACTTGGCTATATTTTGATTCAAGGTGGACGCGTTATAGCTTACGCATCTTGCCAATTGAAATCACATGAATGGAACTACCTCACTCATGACTTGTTATTAGTAGCGGTGATATTTGCTCTAAAGATATGAAGATGTTATCTCTATAGAGCAAAGTTTCAGGTCTTCTCTGACCACAAGAGTTAGAAGTACTTATTTACTCAGAAAGATCTGAACCTCAGGCATAGGAGATGGATGGAATACATGAAAGATTATGACTTCACACTGCAATATCATCATGAAAAAGCTAATGTGGTAGCTGATACCCTTAGCAGGAAGACTACAGGAACTTTAGCATCACTAGCTATGGAAGGTTGGAAAAGAAGTGAAGTAGTAAGCGATTATGATCTTCAGTACCATGAGGATTATAACCATACAATAGTGTATAATCTAATCTCCACACCGGCTCTTATGCAACAAGTTAAGCAGAACCAATGGCAGGATCCTCATCTCTAAGGAATTTGGATTCGAATCCAGAGTGGAGAGGAACTTGAAGATTGGAGAATCTAAGAGGATGAAGCACTTTACTTTCGCAACCAGCTAGCTATTCCTAAGGTAGACGAGATCAAGAAGATAATGCTGCATGAGCCCTATAAATCACGGTACACTATTCATCCTGGAAGTACCAAGATATACCAGGATCTGAAGAGACAATACTGGTTTAGAGGTATGAAGAAAGACATTCATGAATATGTTTCAGAGTGTGTAACTTATCTCTGAATTAAAGCATAACACAAAAAACCTGCGGGAGAATTGCAGCCTCTACCAGTTCCAAGGTGGAAATGGGAACACGTCACGATGGATTTTCTGATGGGATTCCCGATGACTGAGCAGAAACACGATACCATTTGGGTGGTGGTAGACAGGTTAACGAAATCTGCACATTTCATACCGTTCTGTGCGACGTATTCCTGAAAAATTCTAGTAGAATTGTATCTAGAGTACATCGTGAGACTTCACGGGGTACCGCTATCTATTACGTCCGATCGTGATACTCGCTTTAATGCAAGGTATTGGAAAAGTTTCCAGGAAGCCATGGGGACAAAATTGAACTTCAGTACAGCATTTCATCCTTAGACTGATGGGTAATCTGAAAGAGTTATTTAGGTTCTGGAGCATATGCTTCGTGCTTATATTCTGGATTTTGGTGGAACCTAGAAGAAATATCTTCACCTTGTTGAGTTTGCTTACTATAACACCTATCAGGCTAGTATCGACATGGCTCCATTCGAAGCTCTTTATAGTCGACCTTGTAGATCACCTGTTTGTTGGCTGGAACCAGAAGATCGACTTACTACTGGACCAGAAGTTATTCAAGAGAATAACGAGAAGATAGCTCTTATTTGGGAACGATTGTTAACGGCTCAAAGTCGTCAAAAGAGCTATGCTGACAGAAGGCGTAGACCTTTGGAATTCTAAGAAGGTGACTTCATTTTGTTGAAGGTTTCCCCACGCAAAAGAGTTGTTCATTTTGGTGTAAAAGAGAAACTTGTGCCAAGGTACGTTGGACCATTCCCGATCGTGCAATGAGTTGGTATCGTGGCGTATCGTCTGGCTTTACCGCTTGAGTTATCTCACGTGCATGACGTGTTCCATGTCTCCATGCTTCGTAAATGTCAACCTGATCTGGAAGCCGTGGTACATTGGTGTGACGTTCCAATACAGTATGACGCGACATATGAGGAGGCACCAGTTCAGATTCTTGACCGGAAGATAAAGAGTTCGGAAGATGAAGAGTTTGCGTCATCGTGAGATCCCATTAGTGAAAGTTTTATGGTAGCTCCATGGAGTTGAGGAAGCAACATGGGAGCTTGAAACGATGATACATGAGCAGTACCCGCATCTGTTTTCACTTTGAGGTAAGTCCTAATTTTGAGGATGAAATTCTTTAAGGGGTGTGGCGTTGTAACACTTTGAGAAATTAAACGAGATTAATTAAGGTAATTAAGATTTATTAGTGTGCCTAATTTGTTTTAATTAAATAATTATGTTTATTAAATGTTTCTAACGGATAAATTTAAATATTTCCAAGGGGTTTAAGTATTGTCAATATTTACATTTTCAGCCCAGAAGTGTGTGTAGACACATTTCCTGGACTGTCTTCTTAAATATTTTGGCACCTATTTTTCTTTCATTTTTCTTTTCTTTTCCTTTTTCTTTTTCTTTCTTTTTCTTTTTCCTTCTCGTGCGCACTCTCTCTCCCTCTCTTGCTATTTTTTTCACTCTTTCTCACACTCAATCTCTCTCACTCTCTCTCTCTCTCTCCATTTTTGTCTCAAATCAACCGGATTTCGAACCAAAGAAGAATTTCAAGAAGTTTTCAACGCCAAGAGAAGGATTTGAGGTAAGATTTTTAAAAAAACTTCTCTTGAATCTCGAATTTTTCGGTTAGAAAACTTATTTTTGGTTTGAAATGGATATTTATGGATTTTGAGTAAAATCCCAGCAGAAATTAGGGATTTTTGATTCTTTGGACTTGATTTGTCATTTGAAACCTGGATTGAGTGATTTCCCTTTGAAATATCTCGGATTAAACTCAGATTTGCATGTTTTTGGACTGATTCGGTGAGTTTTCTCGCATTTATGTTCTCCACCGGTCGACCTATGCAGTCGACCGGTTTGCACACCACCGGCCGACCGGTGGTGATGCACACCTCTGTCACCGGTCGGCCGGTTGATAGGGGAAAATGGGTGAGTCGTTTTGGAAACCCTGTTTTTACCTCGGTTTTTGAAGAAAACCCAAATTAGTTTCATTTGGGGACCTAGAGTAGATGGATTAGCATCTTGAACCCATGTTTTGAAATTAAAACCCTTGGAATGATGATTTAAAAATGAAATGATTTATGAAACTTGAAATTGGATTAAGGTGCAGTAATAGGAAATCGAGGTGTATAATTGAGATTGAATTACTTTAGGAATGACAAATGAATCCTAAAGTATTGTTTTGTATCAATGCTAGCTGAGGAGTTGAATTGAAGGCTTTGAGGAAGCAGAAGCCAGAATAGTACAACGCTAGCCACATGTTTTATGCTTAAGAGGTAGGATTCCTTATCCATTTCCTTGATAGCCTGTTTTCAAAAGAGTTTTGACCTTGTAAATGTTTTAAAGAAATGACATGTTTGTGAAGGAAAAGCATTTTTAACACAATAACTTGATTTTAGCTATTGGAATTATAATGAACTATTTCAGAATTTTTAATGAACGATTTCTTAAGATAAGAGATCTTGCGAACCGGTAAACCAGCTGATGGCCTAGATAGGATATGGAGAGTGTATCCTTGGGGGCAGGACCTGAAACCCGAACCGGGCCACTACGGTGGTGATAAGGCTTGTGCTTGTGGTTGTGTAAGTAATTTATCAGAGGATAAATTACTTGCTGATGCCTGTAATACGAAAAGTTTCACTTATATTTCCATTCAGTAAAAGGATGTGAGGTTCCGGCTGTTGTGTTGGAACTGAATATCTATATTTATTTGTTTATTTATTTATTTACTTGTTCATTAATTTATTTACTTGTTTATAAAGTTATTTCAAATTACATCCTATTGGGCATTTTGCTCACGTTTTATCTGTTTTATAAATATTAAACCCCTCCTAGGCGACGCTAGGAGCAGTGCATAGTAGCTGAGTTAGTTGCTACCGTCTGTTTAAGAGGGAATTGTGTTCATCATCCTCGTGCATAAATGTAAGAATTATAAATTCTGTAAACTCTGAACTTTGGACTTCTAGACTGTGATTGATGTCTGTAATGTTATTTACCTGTTCATGTATATACAATATTGTATACCTTGTAGGTGATGCCCTGAATACTACCGGGTGCTTAGTTTCCAAACTTGTTTTTGAGAAAGTGTGCGAGACCCCATCACTTTCTTGTAATTTAAATTGCACAAAAATGTGAGCCTTGTTTATAAATTTTCTTAATAGTTTATCTTCGATAATGATCGGAGTGAATACGAATATTCTCTTTTTTCTTATCTCAATTCTCTCTATTCTATTGTCTTTGTTCTTTTACTCCATTATTTTCTTTTATTTTATAACAATGAAATATTTTTAAACTTTAAAACACTCAAAAATAAAAATTGTATTTAAATAAAATTGAGAGGATACTTTTTAGAGCATGTTTAGTTTGCTGATTCGAATTTTTAATTCGAGTTGAGATGTGATTTTATGTGAGAATTTTTTAGGGCTTGTTCTTTTGGAGTATAACTTGAGTGTAGTTTTTGAGTTGAATTTAAGTTATAACTTGAGTTGAAGTTGTAACCTAAATAAAATTGAGTTAAGTTGAATAAAGTTAGAACTTAAAAAAACGTGAACTTAAATAAAATTGTAACTTGAGTTTAAACTTTTTTTGAGTTTTGTTGCAAAAGAATAACCCCTTAGTGTAATAAAAAAGTTAAATCTAACTGTTTCTGAGATTTTTTTACTATAATAAAATTTAAATTTTAAACTCGAATCGTGGTTAATAATACCCCTTACCATAGATTTCTCATAATATAATATTACTGGCTATTCGCTAATTAGCTTTTCTCTTCACAGAAGGAATTATTACGATAAACTCCCTTCTTTACTCTTAGAAAAAATAAAAATAAGTTAGTCAAAAAATAAAATCTATTATTTTCCTCGGCTTGCAGAGTTCAAAGATTCTCCTATCTTCTCCCCTCTATCACAAACCTTCCTTCGAAAACAGGGAATAAAAAAAAGAAAACCCTAACCCTAGATTTCCTCTCTCGCAACTCCATGGCTGGCGACGCCCAAGACTCGCACAAGCACCATCGATCGCCCTCCGACGACGACACCGATAAGTCCTCCAAACGGCACAAGCACCGCCATCACCATCGCCACCGGCATCACCATCACCGCCACAGCAGTCGAAAGCGTGATGAGGAAATTGAAGCTCCTTCTCCTCCGCCAGCTCCTCCCTACGCGGCGCAGAATTCACTGCCCGATGACGATGTGGAGGAAGGGGAAATCCTCGACGAGGAGGGTTTCGGTGGCGGCCTTGACGGAATTCCGAAGAAGAAATCGGAATCTGACGCCGAGTCTGGTGAAATTGAGGCCTCCGGAGTTCGCGATCATTCTGATAAACGAAATCTGGTCTGTTCTGATTCACCGAAAATGCTACTTTATTTTATTTTGTTCTAGACTGTCCATTCGCTTTCTGTTTGGCCATTGATAAAACTGGTAAAAGTTATAACGAAATAACGCATATAGATTTAAGTTTTAGACATGTGACTTTTTCGGAAAAGATTTTTTTTTGCTAGTTTTCTCAGTGACCAAACTGAAATTTATAATACTGTTTATATATCTTTTTCTTTTCTTTTATCGACCGCATGATCAATTCTATTTGTTGAGAGCTTGTTAGAGTACCCGAGTTAAATCATTGTCTCATACTTTGCTTGCACACTAGACGAACATGAGTGAGTTGCAAAAGAAGTTTCTTAGGCGTTTCAAAGTGTGAAGACTGATGGCTTACAGTTAATTTGTAAGAGCTGGTTATATGTATTTATCATGTTGTCTGGTCTTATGTACTACAAATATTTGCACTTAATTTTCTTTCCCCCTTTTTTTCATTGCTTATCAGGGACTTGGTAATGGTAAGGAGTCTCCTTATTCTGAAGCAACAATACCAGTAAAAGAGACCAAGGGGAGTAGTGTTAGAAAATTGAGAACATTGGAAATAGACGGAAGTGATGACAAATTGGCTGCAAAAGATGAATTAGGTTACGGAGATAGTTCGGTGGGTAATGTTAATGGGGCTTTAAACTCCCGATCTCATAGGAGGCAGAGAGAATCTGGGTCACCTTCCAAACGGAGTAATGATAAAAGGAGTTACTACGATGATGGAAATATGGAGGTCGATGGAAATGAAGTTGGAAATCAAATGAAGTCATCTTCTCAGAGCACTGGAGAAAAGTACAAGGGGGTGACACCTTCCCCTTTGGACAATAGCTATCATCATAGAGGACGTGATAGGAGCAGATCAAGGTCGTATGATCGTGCAAAAGAGAGGTCTCGTTCACATAGTGTTATGGAAGATGAGGCTTTCTCTAGAAAGAGACGCTATCTTGCTGATAAAAGCAGGACTACATATGACACAGACAGTGATAGGACAGTTCACGGTCGTGATGTCACAGATATGGTGAGGGATGATGATAGGAAACACAGTCCTGGTTATAGAAGCAAATACATCGGAGAAGAGGACAAACATGGCAACAAAGAGGCTAGGACAAGAGAAGAGAGCAGGGAGAGGGAGGGGGACAGAGATCGGAAAAGGGAAAAAGAACGCGCAAGGAGTCGAGACAGAGATATTGATAGGGATAGAAGAAGGCAGAAGGAGCGAGAAAGGAGTCGGGATAGGGAGTCAGATAGGGACTGGAGAAGGGAGAAGGAACGAGAAAGGAGTAGGGATAGGGAATTGGATAGGGACAGGAGAAGGGAGAGGGTGAGGTATAGAAGTAGGGACAGAGAGGTAGATAGAGACAGAAAATATGAGAAGGAAAGAGATAGGAGCAGGGATAGAGTCAATTTTGTTGAGAGAAGCAGAGATAGTGATAGGGAAAGGAGGAGAGAGAGGGACAAGTACAGTGATGGAGTCATGGAGCGCAAGCTGGAGAGGCGAGATGATGGGAGTAGGGATAAGTTAAGGGATAGGGAGAGGGACAAACATGAAAATGACATCCACAGAGGACAAGATGGGTATAGACATTCTAGGAGCTTAACATATGATGAAAGGGATATCAGTAAAGATGGAAGCGAAAAAGTTTATCCGACAAGAGTTCAGAGTTCAAAAGCTAATTCTTTAGAAGTGGGTGATGACATAATGAAAAGGTGGGTAGTGAGTGATGGCATAATGGAAATGGCGTTTATTCATCGTAATGAGAATTTTGGGCAAGCAGAAGTGCCTTTTTCCCTTTTTATGCTTTAATTTGATGCTTACTATATTTCTTGGCTGCAGGGATGAAGACAGACAAGAAGATTTTGAAGAGACATACACATTGCAACTTGTTGAACAAGAGGAGGAAGATCTTAACCGAATTAAGGAGGAGAGTCGAAGGAGAAGGCAAGCAATCTTAGAAAAGTACAAGAGTCAGCAGTTACAGCAACAGAGTCAGACGGGGGCTAATTTAGAGGATGCAGCCAAAGGTTCGTATCAATTAGTTTTAGGGACTTATTGTCTAATTGCCTATCTATGCTTAACTTGCGTTCTATACTTATTAGAGGCTGACTGTGGATAAAGGTCATATAGCCATATTATTACTTGCTGGGCGTGCTTATTTAAATAAAGTTGTCTATCACAAGTTAACGTTATGGTGGACAGGTTATGGTCTGCATTGAATTGTTATTTCTGGGACTAAAGTGTAAGACTTTTGAGTGATGTGATTTGATGACCAATATATTAACGAGATTGCCTTTTCCATTTGCCTTAACTTTGTAGGAGTCATAGTAAAATCTATGCCAGGTTTTGAAAATTGCAATTGGGGTTTGATGTGCTTTACCTTTGTGAGGCTAGGCATGAGCCTCAAAGAATGCCAATATGTATATTTTCTTAAATAGGTTAAATATAAAATATTTATAGTCATAATAATCATAAAAAACTTATTTATTATAGAAGCATACATGAAAAGACAAGACACAAAAGTGACGGAATAAAATAATAAACTTAAAACGTCATATGCAACGCTACTAGTTTCTTTCCTTAAGTATCTGAAATGCATTTCATGTTATACACAAAATAAATTATTAATCCTTTATTCTAGCTATGAGTGTCAGTTTAGGACTTCCAAAATGAGATAAACATTTTGAACTCTTAGATCAGTTCCTAAAATAAGCAAATAATTTTTATACGTGAGAATGATTTGCCTATCACCCAGCAAGAAATCATAAGATTAAGCAATGACTGGGTTCTTAATAATACAATCATCACAAAGAATGACTTAAGTAGATTAAAGTAAGTATAATATTGAACTTAATCCCCCATACTTTTTAAATTTTGAAATGATGCGTTTTATAGTATTTTGACATTGTTAAAAAAAACTACATATTTAGAAATATGTGAGGGAGAGACTAGAAAATATGCTGTTGGCTATTATTGTTTTGTGTTTAGTCTCATTTGGGCTTAGATGACTTGTTTAAAAGCCAAATTCTTTGGGCCAAAATTACACGCTAGCCCAATATAAATTGGACTAAATCCAGATCTGATATAAGTAAAACAAAGAGAGCTCATGAGATGTGTGAATTTATGCGCACTCCTCATCACTTTGAGGCTTGAGCCTCACTGACCCGCCCTCAAAGCTTGACGCCTTAAGGCTGCGGATGAGCGCCTCGCCCCTTGAGGCATTTCTTGAGGCCTACACCTCTGTTGATTTTCAAAGCGTACTCAGTAGAATTTTCTTCTTTTCCGTTCTTTGTTTGGCATACAAATGTCTTTGTTGATGGCGTTCCATAATCTAATACCTTTATGGTTTTAGGGTTGTCATTGGCTCATGGTTCATTCATGATATGAAGTTATTCGACACTTGATTTTAATGTTATTGTTATCGTTTGGTTCAATTTTGGCATTTCCACTTTGTGATTAGTTTCACTTTCTATACACTGACCAGATTGAGAATCTACAGATCGTCCAGGTCCATCAACAGCTCCTTCCAGTTCTCGTCAAGAAATTGTTGATAGTAAGACTGGAGGCATTGATGTCTTTGCTGATGAATCATCATTTTCTGTGGGAAAATCAACTCCACCAAATGGAGCTGCTGTTTCTGGTGGGACTCTAGGCACCAGAGGACTTGGAGAGGGTACTCCAAAGGTTGTTCCCTGTTTTTTTGCTGCCTGTAAATAGTTTGATAATTGAGTATTTGTCAGTTTGTTGTTAAACATCATTTTTATTTGCCAATTTGTGCAGAGTGAGAGGTCAGATGGAATGTTCTGTGATGATATATTTGGCGAGACCCCAACTGGTGTTCGTAAATCTGTAAGCTCCTCATTTATGTTTTCTTTGTTATAAAAACGTGTAAATTCTTTTTTGATGTGAAAAATAACATTCGTGCCCGGTCACTGTTTTCTCTCTCTTTTTCAAACTTTATTTATGCTCCATTTGGCTGGTATTATTGTTCTAACTATACTAAATAAATTATGCATTTTTTTTTGCAACAAGTTCCTATATTTTTTAATTTTCTGCTTTTGCCCTTGATTTTGTTATTTAGAGAGTAAATTGTGTATTTGCTAGTAGATACAATTAGGCTTTTGATGGATTTAGGGTCCATTTGGTTCATGGGTTCAAACCATAGTTCGTGATTCTGACGTTTGAAATTCAAATTTTGTGTGAGAGGAAAACACTGTAGCAGAACTAACAACCATGGTTTGAACCATACAAAACTCTTGAAATAAATGAACCCTTAATTGTTCATTGAGTTCATTATTCTAGGTCCATTTGGTTCATGGGTTCAAACCATGGTTCGTGATTCTGACGTTTGAAATTCAAATTGTGTGAGAGGAAAATACTGTAGCAGAACCAACAACCATGGTTTGAATTAGGGGTGGCAATTCGTGTCACGTGTTGTGTTCGTGTCATGTTTTGATCGGTTTTTTTTTAAATTTGTAGTCAACCCGAACATGATCCGTGACACGAAATTTTTTAAAAACCGCAACACGACACGACCACTTTACGAGTTGACACGACACGACCCGAAAATGACTGGTGACACGAAATTGACCCGTGAACCGAAATTGACACGAAAATTGTATACTTTTATTTAGTTTTTTACATATTAGAAATAACTTAAAATTCATAACACACTAAATTACAATAACATCCGTTGAAATTAAACAAATAATAGTATAAGATTTTGAGTGTAACTATCATGATATCACAAGTTCATAATAAAATTTAAAATATGAAATGAAAAATATATGTATTTTTTAGATTTTTACGAGTTTCGTGTCGTGTTCGGGTTAGGCGGGTCCAACCCGAAATTGACTCGTGTTTTTCGTGTCAATTTCAGGTCGACTCAATTCTGACCCGAACCTATTTTTTCTCAACCCTAACCCGCAAAAATCGTGTCGTTTTTGAGTCGTGTCGTCGTGTTGTGACCTATATTGCTGGCCCTAGTTTGAACCATACAGAACTCTTGAAGTAAATGCACCCTTAATTGTTAATTGAGTTCATTATTGTTGTATATTAATTACATTTTTTAGATTGAGATGAAATCTGTTATCTTATCTGTCAATTGATTCATTATATATTTAGAATAAGGGTAGTTTTGCAAAATATCAGCAAGTTTTATTCCATTCTTATATGTCAATCTGTTATCTTATATGTCAATTGATTCATTAGAATAAGGGTAGTTTTTGCAAAATAAAGCAAGTTTTATTCCTTTCTAGTAAAAGTATTTAAATTCCGTTCATACTACCATTTTCCATTAGTATTCCATCACTTCAACCAAACACACCCTAAGATGATTATCAATTATATTATGGATAGCTTCACTAAAGATTTTGCTCACGCACTCTCTTTTCAGGGAAAAGGTGATGGTGTACGGATTGAAAGGAGTGCTCTTCATGATAATTGGGATGATGCTGAGGGTTACTATAGTAAGTATTCGATTATAGTCAGAAAATGTTTCTTATTTTGTTTATCCTATTTGTGGATGCTTGCTTAGCCTTGTTTCCGATGATTGTTAAGTATTTATATGTCCTGACTCGTCATTCTATATGCTCCTGGATATTTGTATACATTTCCATCCTTTCTGGAATTCTTATACTCTTTATGTTCATATAGAGCAGATTGAACCATGAAACAGTCCCTCATTACAAATTTGTTTCCCATTATTAATTGCTTGAGGAAATAGAAAAAAGGAGTATTTGAACTTGCTCAATATTGTTTACGCTTTTAGCATTTTTTGTTCTGTGCTGTCATGTTAGCAGTTAGTTACAATATGGCCAACTTGATATTAAATATTACATTCTAGGTGCAAGAACCTGCATATTTTTGTTTTGTGCCGCTTTTCTTGCTATTATTATTCAGCTTCTGTTCCCCCCAGAATTAGAATATTCGTAGGACTGCTGGAGGTGCAACATTTAAGTCTGAATATTGGAAGTAAAGTTGAGTTGTTGGTTGTCACATGTATAAAAACCATTTGGTTAATATTTCTCTGGGTTCTTGTACGCCCTTTTCTCATGTAAATTTTGTTTCATATGCAGGCTACAGATTTGGTGAATTACTTGACGGTCGATATGAGATTACTGCTGCCCATGGGAAAGGTGTCTTTTCGACAGTAGTCCGTGCAAAGAATGTTAAGGCCGTTGATGGGGAACCAGAAGAAGTGGCAATAAAAATTATACGTAGTAATGACACTATGTAAGTGATCATGATGTCACTTTTCTTTACTCTTGTACATGTTTGTTTCTGGAGCCATGATGGCCAAGGTTACTTGTTAACGTCATTAGTTAACATTTTATGCTTTGTTCCCAAAATCCTTACTCGTGTTTAATATATGGCACAGGTATAAGGCTGGTATGACTGAGCTAGTCATATTGAAGAAATTAGTAGGTCAAGATCCAGAGAACAAGCGTCATTGTGTTCGGTTTCTGTCAAGTTTTAAGTACCGGAATCATCTTTGTTTAGTTTTTGAATCTCTTCATATGAATCTGCGTGAGGTTTTAAAGAAATTTGGACGCAATATTGGTCTCAAGCTGACTGCTGTCAGAGCATATGCTAAGCAACTTTTTATAGCGCTGAAGCATCTCAAAAATTGTGGCGTTCTTCATTGTGATATCAAACCCGATAACATGCTGGTAAAATTTTGTTTCCCTTTCATGCTTGGTTTCACTCGGAAAAAAGAATATTGGGGAATAATTGATTTCATTCATTGAGTAGACTTTTATACAATTACAGCCTAACTAAAATAGGAAACAATATCACTAATTCTAGGAAGCAAATAACTGCTAACAATACTTTCCTAAATATACAGATTTGACACCTAGCTAATGATACAATTACAGCTATACATGGATTCTTTCCTAAACACAGTTTCGGTTTTTCTACACTCCCCCTTAAGTTGGTTTAAAAATATCTTTCATAGCTAGCTTGCTTACTAAAAAATCGAACTGTTTTTTAGATAGTCCCTTTGTGAGCAAATCAACTACTTGATCTTCAGTCAGAATATAGATCATGCATATCAAACCGCCTTCTATTTTCTCTTTAATAAAGTGCTTGTCCACTTCAACGTGCTTTGTGCGATCATAGAGAACTGGATTATGAGCAATAGAAATAGCAGCCTTATTGTCACAATACAACTTCATAGGTAGAGCTTTTGAAGCTCTCAACTCCTGCAGTATTCTCTTGATCCACATTACTTCACAAATACCAAGGGCAACTGCCCTGAACTCAGCCTCTGCACTACTCCTTGCAACTATATTATGCTTCTTACTATGCCAAGTTACTAAGTTACCACCAACATAAGTACAGTATCCAGAAGTTGATCTCCTATCAGCTATACTCCCAGCCCAATCTGCATCGGTGTAAGCCTCAATCTGAAGGTGTCCTCGGGATTTAAAGAGAAGCCCTTTGCCTAGTGTCCCCTTTAAATATCTTAGAATCCTGTAAACGGCTTCAAAATGCTCAGGGCCAGGTGAGTGCATAAACTGGCTAACCGCACTTACTGAGAAGGCTATGTCTGGACACGTGTGTGACAGATAAATAAGTTTGCCAATAAGTCTTTGATATCGCTCCTTATCCTTTTCATCTTCAGCATTGGCTGGTTGCAACTTTACAATTGGTTCCATGGGAGTTTCTGCCGGTTTACAACCCAACATACCTGTTTCTTCAAGTAAATCAAGTACATACTTACGTTGATTTACAATAATTCCTTCCTTAGACCTTGCAAACTCCATTCTAAGGAAGTATTTTAACACTCCCAGGTCTTTGATTTCAAATTCTTTGGCTAATCTCCTCTTTAGTCTATCCATTTCACTACAATCATCTCCTGTCAAGATAATATGATCAACATACACAATTAAGATGGCAACTTTACCTTCTCTTGAATGCTTGTAAAACATGGTGTGATCTGTTTGATTCTGTATAAATCCGTACCTCCTCACTACCTTGCCAAAACAATCAAACCATGCCCTAGGTGACTGCTTGAGTCCATACATGGATTTTTTTAGTCTGTAGACTTTTTCCAACCCCAAGTTCTTTCGTAAAGTCCGGTGGTAGGTTCATAAACACTTCTTCTAGGTCACCATTGAGAAAAGCATTTTTTACATCAAGTTGAAACAGAGGCCAATTAGAATTCATAGCAAGAGTCAATAAGACCCGTATTGTATTTATCTTCGCAACATGGGGCAAAAGTTTCTTGGTAATCTATACTACCATCAGCTTTACTTTTTTCTGTGAACACCCATTTGCACCCCACAACCTTCTTGTCACTAGGTAACTCAACCACCTCCCACGTACCATTCTTCCTTAACACTTCCATCTCTTCAAGCACGGCTGATCTCCAATTCGGTTCATCTAATGCCTCCTTATATTTCTAGGCACAACAAGTTTTGAAATCTTTGTAGTAAAAGCTCTATACTTGGCATAAAGGTTGTCATAGGAGATGTACTTGGCAATAGGATGTCTAGTGCAAGTTCGGGTTCCTTTTCTGAAGGCAATGGGAAGATTAAGGTATGTTTCTTGGATAGGAACAACAGGTACGGGGTTCGTACTAGATTCAGGAGGAACTGTTTCACTAGAATTTGGAATACAAGATAAGGAAGGTGGAGAATTAATAGTATCTGAATTACCGGATGCGTTTGGATGGACTTCACTCGGGAATTCCTCATGGTCGCGTGCTGAGCGAAACAAAGAATCTTTACCTCTTTCAGGGATATTTTTCCTAGAATAAACCACAGGCTCAAGATTAGATCGATTTTTTCCCATTTGTAGTATTTCCATATATGATAGACCAATGTCAAATGCAAATTCAGTGTTTTCAGATTGAGTGATCCTAGTTTCCTTATCTATTTCAGTAGATTTTGCTTTAATAGGATAAAAAACTATTTGTGGTAAAGGTTCTGTTTCCCAAAAATTTGATTCTCCTAGCTTCTCCCCTTGAATTAAATTTTTGTGGAAGAAAGGGAAATTTTCCAAAAAAGTTGCATTCATGGTAATATGAAATTTCTTAGTCAATGGGTTGAAAAATTTGTAGCCCTTTTGATTTGGAACATATCCTAGAAAAATACATTTTGTGCACATATGCGGTGCAGCCAAAGATTTTTAATGGCAGATATGAGTTTATTCGGGATTCTTGAAAAATTTATTTCAAGCAATCCAATGTAGTGATATACTGCAAGACCCTAGTAGGCATCCTGTTAATCAAATATGATGCAATTAAAATAGCATCCCCCCACAAATATTTTGGCAAGTGCATGTAAAACATCATAGCTCGAGCTACTTCTAAAAGATGTTTGTTCTTTCGCTCGGCCATTCCATTTTGTTCAGGAGTATCTGGACATGAAGATTGATGTAAAATTCCTTTTCCTTCTAAAAAAGTTTCTAAAACTTTATTGTAGTACTCTGTTCTATTATCTGATCTTAAAATGCTTATCTTTGCTTGAAATTGATTTTCTATCATATTGTAAAAATCTTTAAATATTTTTTCAACTTCAGATTTCTCACGCATCAAATAGATCCAACAAAGACGAGTATGGTCGTCTATAAAGGTTACAAACCATTTTTTACCTGAAACCGTGGTTACTCTTGAAGGTCCCAAACATCACTGTGGAAAAGATAAAGCGCTTTGAAGGTTGATATGGTTTTGGAATATAACTTTTCCGTTGGCTTTTTGCAAGTAAACAACTTTCACATTTAAATATTAAGGGGTCAATATTCTTAAATATTGATGGAAACAAACGTTTTAGATAGATAAAACTAGGATGGCCCAATCTGTAATGCCAAACCATTATTTGATCATAAGCAGACATAGAACTGATACTACTAAGCACTTGAGCAATTTTAGAACTAGGTAAATTATCCTCAAAATAATGAAGACCATTGATCATTCTAGCATTGCCAATCGTCATCCCCGAGTTCCTGTCCTGAAAAACAAAATGAGATTCAAGGAAGGTAACAAAACAATTAGAGTCTTTGGAAAGTTTGCTAACAGACAAAAGGTTGCAAGCAAGTTTAGGGGCATGGAGAAAAGATTTCAGATTTATTCTTTCTGAAATTTGTATCAAACCTTTTCCTGCGATAGGGGAAAAGCTACCATCTGCAATCTTATTCTTTTTGTTTCCAGGACATGGTGTATATGATTGAAATAATTTAAAGGAATTGGTCATATGATCGGAAGCTCCTGAATCTATTATCCATGGAGCAGAAGAATTAATGCAACAAGATAGAGCTTTTGATTCATTACCTGTGTGTGCCACAGAAGCATTAGGAGGATCAGATGACGACGAACCAGATTTTAGCAGTGTAAGAAGATGCTCCATTTGCTCTTTGGTGAAAGGGTTGGCTTCGGCCTCATTAGCAGTGGGGAAGCATCTAGTTTTCTCTCCTACCTTGCTCTTCCAGTTCGCAAGTTTCCCATGCAGTCTCTAGCAATTTTCACGAGTGTGGCGTGGTTTGTTGCAGTAGTCACACCACACATGGTTTCTCACCAGATTTTTGCTAATACACAGGAGTCTTGGACGATGTTGATCCAGTGGTTACCAAAGCCGAGCCTTCTGCAGCAGTCCTAGGTCCTTTCTTGCCCAACATAACATTCCTCCGACTTTCTTCTCTCCTTACTTCTGAAAATACTTCTCCGATCGAAGGGAGAGGCTGCCTCCCAATGATTCTCCCCCTGACTTCATCAAACTCAACGTTGAGTCCTGCCAAAAACTTGAAGATACGGCCATCTTCCACAACTTTCTTGTGGTGGCGTGCATCTTCTGGTGATTTCCACTCATTAGTGTTGAAAAGATCTTGGTAATATTATCCTCTCCATGCCGCATCTCGCCAATTTTGAGAGTCAATTCAAATATATGTGATTGATTCCCCAAATCAGAGTACATCTAATTCACATTTTCCCACAGCTCTTTTGCCATTGAATAGCACATATAGTTAGAGCTAATATCCTCTTCCATAGAATTCATGAGCCATGTCATAACCATGGAATTTTGAGCATCCCATGTAGCATGGGTTGGATCCGTCTATGGTGGAGCCTTCGTTTCACCTGTCAGATATCCGATCATTCCACGTCCTCTAATGTTACATCCGAACGGCTTGTGACCAGTGCAAGAAATTACAACCATTCAAACGAATGGTTGTAATTTGAATAGAGTGGGAGTCTGTGCTCGTCTTGATAGGATCGGCTGTTTTTGGGGAGGTAGAAGTTTTTGGAATGGTAGTGGACTCGGACTCAGTCGACACATCAAACATGGTGAATTGAGGGTAGCAGAGAACGAAGGAGGAAGGAGGATGATTTCTGGCAAGCCCAAAAAACAGGCTCTGATACCAACTCAGAAAAAAGAATATTGGGGAATAATTGATTTCATTCATTGAGTAGACTTTTATACAATTACAGCCTAACTAAAATAGGAAACAATATCACTAATTCTAGGAAGCAAATAACTGCTAACAATACTTTCCTAAATATACAGATTTGACACCTAGCTAATGATACAATTACAGCTATACATGGATTCTTTCCTATACACAGTTTCGGTTTTTCTACAGTTTTGGTCTTTCATCTTTATTTAATTTCTTTGTTTATTTTCCAGGTAAATGAAGCAAAGAATGTGCTGAAACTTTGTGATTTTGGTAATGCCATGTTTGCCGGTAAAAATGAGATTACACCATACCTTGTTAGCCGCTTTTATCGTGCTCCAGAAATTAGTAAGTTAGACTCTTGAGCTGTTGTTTGTGATTGTTCAAATGTTTCCCTTCTTAAATTTGTTTATTTGATTATATTCTAAGTTACATCTGAAATTTTAATTAGTCTTTATTTTGTTTTTTGTTTTTTGTTTTTGTTTTTTTTTTGTTTTTTTAATTGCAGTTCTTGGCCTGACCTATGATTATCCACTGGATATTTGGTCTGTCGGCTGCTGCTTATATGAGCTATATACAGGAAAGGTTCTTTTTCCAGGCGCTACAAATAATGACATGCTACGACTTCACATGGAACTCAAGGGCCCTTTTCCGAAAAAGATGCTACGGAAGGTCAGTATTTTTAGTTTTCAAATTTAGATATCATAGACTTTTTGTTGTGTTATATTTAAATGCTCTCACTTTGATTGAAGAAAATTCAAGTGTTTTTTTTGTTTTTAGGTTTATTTTCTAATGTGTGTGCGTGTATGGTTATTTCCAAAGTTCATAATGGTTTCTTTTGCCAAGTTAGAGACACCTAGACGAAATGGACTAGGCTATTTGTGGCTTTCCAAGCATGGATTAAAACTTGCTTGTTTTTCTGGCTTTTCCTTTTGCAGGGAGCTTTTACATACGAACATTTTGACCAAGATCTGAACTTTCATGCTACTGAAGAGGATCCTGTCACAAAAAAGGTGTTTGTTGGTTTGTTGTCTTGAATTGTATTAAGTTATTTACCTTTTTGTTTTTTGTTTTGTTTTATTTTTTTGTTTTTTGTTTTTTTTGTTTTTAAAAATTTTTGGCTTGGAACATAGGCTGCAAAAGTTGGACCTCGTAGTTGATGTTTATTTTAATCAAGATTTGATTTTACCTTTGCAGGCGATCAAGCGGTTAATCCTCAACATAAGACCAAAAGATATTGGATCAATTATTGTGGGTTCTCCGGGTGAGGATCCAAAGATGTTGGCCGATTTCAAAGATCTTCTAGATAAAATGTTTGTTTTGGATCCAGATAAGAGGTTGACAGTATCTCAGGCATTGAGCCATCCATTCATCACTGGCAAGTGAACCCTGTTGCTGATTTCAGACTCCAGAATTCCTGTTCAGCTAGATTTTTGTAGATTATAACATAAATCATGCTCAGTTTCTAATCCTTGGGCATTGTCTCTTCTCTGTGATGGCCGGAGTGGAGAGCTTTTGACACAGTTTGGTATTGCTGAAGTCAAAACTCAAAAGGGGTGATGTTTGGTTCAGGAGTACTCATGTGGCGGGTTTCTTTCAGTGGAGTGTACTGTTTCTATAGTAAGACAACTAGCCGAAGGCGTTTCTTTTCCCTTGTAACCCCATTCATGATTACCTGATGCGAAAATTCATTGCGTCCTAAGAATGTCTTTCATAATTATATATGTAGTTTTAACGTTGAACCTAATTCAATATATTAATTCCCTTGAGCTGGTTAATTTTTATTCAAGATGAAACGGTGGACCTTTTTCCTTCTGCACTCTTCATTTTTGCTTTTTAACTTTTTTTTTTTTTTTTTAATAGAATATGCTTTGTATTGTCAAATTTCATTTTTGCATTGTTGTTTTCTGGTATTTGGACACTATATTGTACTGGGTAGAAGGTTTGCCATACCATCCTTCAGTTCACATTGCTGTCCGTTTCTTTCTTTTTTTTTCTTTTTCTTTTTCTTTTTCCTTTTGATTAATTTGGGTTATGGGAAATCTAATTCATTCTTTCCTTCAGGATTTCTTCCACTGCTTTGAGGGAACCTACAGTGCTTAGATGCTTTAAAAGGCACCCAGGAGAAGGTACCTTGGTTTGTTTATTGGGAGATATTTTGTGAACATTGAAAGTAGCTATTATGAGTTTTACACTGTGTTTGTATTGTTCTAGCAACCTTGCTGGGTTCATCGAAAATCTGCTCTAGTTGAATCCATAGAGTCAATACCCATAGATATTTTTCTGTGTTCTTTTGATGTGTTATTTGATGGTTTGCTTCTCTGGAAGTTGCTTAAATATTCCTTGCCTTTAATAGACGTTACGTTAGGTGTCTTCTTAGTAAATACTTGCATCTGTATCCTTGAATATGCTTTGTGAGTAGCTACCTTACAGATACATTGTATCTTTTTTTTCCCTTCTCTTGTCACTGTCTATCTCTTATTTTTAGTGCCCTGTCATCTATATACCTAGATGTAACTTCTAGCGGAGTTATGTGAGTGAACGCTAGTGGCTGAGTCTGTATTATTATATTTTCCCTTTTTTGCTGCTTGTCTTTTCCTATATGCACATCCTAATGAAATTGCGTTACATCTGATCCATGGTCTGGTCATCTTGGAGGCACGTGCATTGGAGGGTGCAGCTGCTGCATTGATGTCCCCCTTGGTGAGTTATTTTAGTTTCTGCATGCTGCTTTCTTGAAATGTGGTGAATTGTTATTGAAAAGAAAATATTTTAACATGACTTTCTCTCTTCTCAGGTTATGGCCCCCTATGCGCGTGCAACAATTGTAAGTATGTGCAAACCTTGATTATATATCTCTGCCTCTTGGTAATACTCTGGTTTCTATTTTATGATATTACGTTTCTTGTAATGTCTAATAATCCCAAGTTATGCAAGAGTTATGAGTTCCATACACTGCATCTTTAGCATGTCTAAACACTACGTTAATCTCGTGTGCAGTCTATGTAAATGTTGAAGGAATAGGATTTTATTGATCTACCTAGTATGAGATCACTTGTGAGCTGCCGGGTTGTAGATATAGGCTTTTTGGTTCTTAATTAGTACGTAGAATTAAAAGGAAGTTTGGTATTTGAGATAGATTGACAAGTAGAAAAGAAATAACATGAAATCTGAGTTTGATTTCATTGATGGTGTTTTACAGCACGTCGTTGCTTGTACTATGTTATGGGTAGCGAACTTTAGTACTTCACAGGCAACGAATGTGGGATTCCCAGAATCGTATTTTTGCGTGTAATACTAGGGTTGGGGTAAAACGGGTCTTGCACACTTTGACTGCTGATGGACATAGGTGAATTGGTGGGTTAGTCTTTTAGAATTGAGAAGGTTTTCTTTTTAGTTGCAGGACCTATTTACAGTCTCAGTTAAGTTTTAGCATCAACCATTGTTTCATATGGCATTTTCAATCAATGCCACTGACCGTTTAGTAAATTGAGTTTACTTGTCAATTTTATTGTGCGTGTAGTTTTGGTTTCTTGGTGTCATATTGGTCTTTCCTCTCGAGTGCCTCATTCAGTTTTACGCAAGGACTTGCTTAGTTTATCACGGAATGATGGTAGTTAATTTCTAATTCAACCGGTCTCCTATTCTGTCTTTTATATTTCTTGTTGCTGTTTACTGATTCACGAGCTTTTTGGCCATAGGTTTTTTTAGCTTTATGTGAGAAAATTTCACAAAAGTTTTCATGAAGGAAAATGTTTTTTTTTTTTTTTTTTGGGGGGGGGGGGGGGGGGGGGTAAAAAATAAACACTTGCGTCTTTCTCATATTACTGTGCATTCTAAATTGGTGTTTTAGAACGTTTGTTTTGTTCGCGGATATATGTGTATATATATAAGAGGTTTAACGTACTAAGCTCTAGAAACAGATGGTTTAGGAAGATTTTTGGTCACAAAACTTCTGCGTATATGTTAATCGGTCGTTTTTTCTTTTCTACAGTAAATCTGTTAATGTTATTGTTCCATTTTAGTCGTTATGTTTGTGTATATATACGGAGACTTCAATTGTAAGGACTAATTTTGGTTAATATCTATTATTTATCAATTAGTTATTATATAGCAGGCAGGTGGTGGTTGACTTGCTTTTATTTTCTTTTATTTTTTAGTCTCGTTTTAGCCAGCCTGTTTTTTTGTTCTTTCTTTTACTGTGTCAAAGACATGGCAAACACGTGTTCTAAAGCTGAAGTTAATATATGACAATGTCTAATTCTTTTCCCCATAATTTTTCGTTGTTTTTTTTTTTTTTTGTCTTTATGCACGTTGAACACGTGCTTTACAAACTGAAATCAATAATATGTTTTTTTTTTTTTCCTTTTTCTTTTTCCCATCTTTCTTCAAGTTTTTTCCCTATTTCTGCGATTTTCTTTCTTTGTTTTTTCCTTGTTTTTTTCGCGTCCTTTTATCTGTCAAAGTCAAACACAGGTATACAAAGTGATGATGTATACCTGTGTTTAGTCCTTTATTCTCATGGTTACAAAAATTCTCTCTCTCTCTCTCTCTCTCTCTCTCTCTCTCTCTCTCTCTCTCTCTCTCTCTCTCTCTATATATATAATATAAGGATTTTCTCAGGTGGTGTGAAAATGGACTATTTGTAGTCTTTTATTTTTTAGCTGTTAAATTTGTATCATAATGTTTATTTTTCAATCTGATTACGAAAAAAGGAGAAACTACAGGAAAAAAAAATCAAGAAGTTGATATATTAATTTCAGTTTACATGCTTTCTTCGAGGATGAAAGAAAGAAAGGAAAAAAAAAAAAAAAAAAAAAAGCAGGCCAATAGCAGAAAAGTGAAAAAAATAAGGAAAAAAAAATAAAGAACAAAAAGAGAAGATTGTTGAGCTTACTTTTAAAAGGCATGTATTTGGATTTTATTTTTACCTTTTTATTCTTGATTAATATTTTTTTTATATAGTTATTTGATTGAAAATGGTATTAATCAAGTGTAAGAGGTAAAAATTAAGATTTTTGTATTGTTAAGGAGTAGGATAAAAATCAAGATCTATGTATTTTTAAGAAGTATTTGTTAAGATTTCTTAAAAGCAAGAAAATAGAGCATTTCTTTTCTTGTGTTTTGTTTTGTTGGCGCTCTAATGGATAATGCTATTACAAATGATGTCTATTATTTGTCACAATTGTTAATGTTAAGTTTTGAAAGTTGTAACATAGTGCAAGCAAAAAAACTATATGACTACACTTGTCTTTTTCTATATTTAATTTTAATATAAATTATAACAGAAAGTATTAAGTGAGAATAATTTAAAATTTAGAGTAAAGTGAGTTTTTAAAGTTTGAAAGTTAAATTGAAAATGACTTTAAAGTTTAGGGATATCAGTAATAGTAATTCTTAAAATAATCCAAAAGTATATGATTAAATCAAAAATAATATTTTTCAGGCAAAAAACTTTAAAATAATATTTTATTAATCAATAGCAAAATCTAGCATATGCGATTACTTGTGATAATAGATATTAAATAGCACGTGAATATGTCGAAGCCCCATTCTCAAATTTTTGCTCTAATTTTAATCATGGTATACTTCGCAATAGTTTCCTATAGCCTTTCTTACCGGAAATTAGTCAGCTAATTAGGTGCATCTTCCAATTATAGAGAAAGGTCTTGTGGGCTTATGACATGTTTAGATTGATAGTGGAATTTTATGAGTAAAGCTATGACTTGAAAATTGCCTGACAATTTGTTGTCTTTGCCTCTGAAGAGACGTGCTTTTGTAAAGAATTTTACGCCTTAATTTAACTTTTTAGCATGGGATCTTACTGAATTTTGTGTTTGGCAAATTAAAAAATTTTTATAAATGACTTCTCGAACTTTAAAATCTATAGTTGTTAAATTTTAAACAGATTTACGGCTTGTTCATTTACATTAAAATTCAAAAAAAATTTGAACTCAAGTTATAATTTTATTTAAGTTTTTTTTTTTTTTTTTTTTTTTTGGTGTAAAATGAGTTTTAACTTGAGTTTGAGGTTAAAATTTGATTTTAAGTTTCTCTTTTAATTTAAGTTTTTAAACTCAAACTTAAGTTAATGAATAATGTTTTTTCTATTCTTAAAAACGTTATAATTTTTTCGTTTTAATTCTGATTGAGATGTTTTTTCAATATGTTCACAATGAAAAGATGAATAAAATTTCACTCATATACTCTATTAATATTTTTCATCACCATTGAATTTTTATTAAAATATTATTTAAATATAAATTCAAGTTTTGACTTACGTAAATACAAAATTTAAATAGATTTTCTATTCAAACCATAATTCAAAATATGCACAACTAAATACAAATTCAAATTAGAATCTCAATTTAAATTATATTCAAATATATTTTAACTTAAATTGAGATTTAAACTCAAATTATTTTAATTAAAAAATTATAAATGAAAAAGTCCTTAATTTTAATTGAGATGTGATTTTATGTAAAAAAATTTTACTATAATAAAAAAATTAAATATAATTATTTTTTAAAATTTTTTATTATAATAAATTTTAAATTTTAAATTTAATTCAATGAAATAAACAGGTCTAAATCAAAATTGAATTAATAGGATAAAAAAAATAAAAAACCCAGAAACTTCTGGGTTCCTTCCACAATCTCCATCTCTCTAAGAACATCCTTCTTATCCCCCTCAACGCCTGCACACCTCAGTCGCAGACAACAGCTCCAACGGCGACGACGAACCCAGAAACCTCGCCTCTCCCACCTGGTTCGCCACTCATGATTGCACTTTCCTCAAGCTCGGCCTCAGTCGACAACCTCACGAACATCGCCAAGGGCGGGCGGATGAGCGGGTTTATGAGACAAGTCGGAGCAATTTGGTAAAGCGTGGCTGCACCGCCATTGTTGGAAACAGCGAGGTACGTTGGAGGACGAGGACGATTTAGGAGTGGCAATGAAGGAGATAAGAGTCCAATCGTGCCCTCTGATTTTTTTTTTGGGTTTTATAACGTGATGCTTTGTATTTTTTATCTAATTTTTCTTTTTGTCCGAAAGTTTTTCACTCAGGTTGTGTGGTAAAAGATTATTTCGCTACGTTGTGATTTTGGGTTTTCATTGAGCAAAAAAAAGAAAAATTGTTCTTTGTTTGTTAGGGTCTAAAAAGTTGAGTGTTTGTAATTGTTTCTTATGTTGTGATTAAGAAGACAATGATGTTTGAATTCAATTTTGCGATGGGAATTCGTAGCTTTCTGTTTTGATCATATGGATTCATGCTCGTTGAATTGGAGGTTATCTTGAAGGTTCTTGTATGCAAGGGCTTGAGATCCTGATATTTGTACTTCCATTTTGCTGGTTCGGTGCATGGCGGAGACGCCGTCGCTGGATATTGTTGAGTGAGTTGAAGTCAGTAAGTATTAAATAATATCACGCTAACTATATTTTATGGTATTCTTCTTTGGATTGTGAAGGGCCACCAAACGATCGTTTTCAGTTCTCATCATCAGCAATGGAAAAGCAATTTAGGTTAGAGCCTGTGCTGTTAAATGTCAAATATGTGGGGTATTGTTTCGATTTAATACATGCCCTTCTTGCTGAAGCAATTGTGTGTAAATTTGCTCAATTATGGGGATAAGGTACTGAACGGAGTTGAGCGTAACTTCCTTTTTTTTTTTTTTTCCCTGTGAAAGAAGTTGAGTAATCATTTCTTTCTTTTGAAGGGGAAGTTGAGTATTGTTAAGGAATTAAAATGTGTACATTTAAATACAAATTTAAATTAAAATTATAATTCAAATCATACTTAAATATATTTTAACTTAAATTAAGATCTGAACTTGTCACCTTAATTTAAAAAATACAAATGAACAAACTCTAAATCTTTAAATCACTAATAATGGAGAGCATCATGTGTATAATGCCTATAACACCGTAAAAAATATCAAAACAAGGAATTAGGCACGGATCCACCTTGTGCCCAGTGGGGGCACGTGCCCCCACTGAAGAGAAAAAAACTATTATACTTTTGCCCAAAACACTATTATTTTCCCTAATTTTAAAGAATGTGCCCCTACTGATCAAGTAACACTCACTATGTTGTTTTGTGTTTTTTTCTAAAGATTTGGGCTTTGACACTTGTTTGAACGGAGGCCCTTTTTTTTTTTTTTTTGCTACGGAGAGGCCCTCTTCCTCACTTATTCATTACATATTTTATTATTTTCTTTTTTTTTAATTTTAGTTGAAAAAACTCTACAATTTTTTTTTGCTTGTTTTGATAGTGATTATCCTCTCTGTTTTTTTCATTTACATGTTTTGCTCCTTTTTTATTTTACAATAGTTTTATATCAAAAGTTTTATTGCTCTTCAAAATAATATGAAAATTTATGAACTTTTTAATCTTAAGTGATTATATTGTTTTAATGTTTATTTTTTATTTATTTATAATATACATAAACTTGCGCGCATAATACTCAATAAAGTTATCACTCTCTTAAAAAAATATTATTGTTAATTAGAAAAGATAAAATCAGAGAAAAAAAAGAGAAAAGATAAAAAGTTTGCCTTGAAATTTTTATCGTATAGTTTAGTTAATAATTTTTTATTTTACTTTTGCCCCTATTGAATTCAAATCCTTGCACTGACTTGCCTCTATTGGATACAAATCCTGGCTCCGTCAGTGCAAGGTATCAATAATTTAATGAAAATAAAGCAATTATCTTTGGAGAGAAATAAAAAAGGAGTA